GTTCCCCCCCCCCCCCCCCCCAGCTGTTTTAGGTATAAGGTTAGGTTGTGAATTTGAGACCTTTCTTGCTTCTTCAGGAAGACCTGGATTGCTATATACTTCCCTCTTATGACTGCCTTTGCTGCATCCCAGAAGTTTTAGATTGTCGTGTGTTCATTTTCATTGGCTTCCATGTACTTTTTAATTTCCTCTTTAGTTTCTTGGTTAACCCATTCGTTCTTTAGTAGGATGTTCTTTAATCTCCAAGTATTCATGGTCTTTCTTGTGGTTGATTTCCAGTTTCATAACATTATGGTCTCAAAATATGCAAGGTATGATCTTGATCTTTTTGTACTTGTTGAGCATTGATTTATAACCTAGTATGTGATCTATTCTGGAGAATGTTTTATGTGCACTCAAGAAAAATGTGTGTTCTGCTGCTTTAGGATGAAATGTTCTGAATATATCTGTTAAGTTCATCTGGTCCAGTGTGTCATTCAAAGCCATTCTTTCCTTGTTGATTTTTCGCTTACATGATCTGTCCATTGTTGTAAGTGGGGTGTTGAAGTCCCCTACTATTATGGTATTATTATCAATGAGTTTTTTTATGTTTGTGATTAATTGACTTACATATTTGGGTTCTTTCATGTTGGAGGCCTAAATAACTTACAATTGTTAGATCTTTTTGGTGGATAGACCTCTTAATTATGATAGAATGCCCTTCTTAATCTCTTGTTGCGGTCTCTATTTTAAAATTTAGATTGTCTGATGTAATCCGGCTTTCTTTTGATGACCATTGTCATGATAGATGGTTCTCCATCCCCTTACTTTCAATCTGCTGGTGTCTTTAGGTGTCCTAGTTCCTTTCCATTTCCATACAATTTCCTGAACAGCTTGTCAATTTCTGCAAAAAAGCCAGCTGAGAATTTAATAGGGATTGAATTTTATTTACAGATCAAGTTGAGTATTGTCATCTTAACAGTATTAAGCCTTCCTGTCCATGTCTTTCCATTTATTTAGCTTTTGAATCTTTTTCAATATTGTCTTGTGGTTTTCAAAGTACTAGTTTTGCATTTTTGTAAAATGTATTACTGAGTATTTTATTCTTTGTGAAGGTGTTGTATATAAGTGTCCTTTAAACTTTTAAAAGATTTTTGCATGGATATACCTAATATACATGTCTCTATACCCAATAGGTATATAGACTATGTCTCTATACCCAATAGGTTATATAGACTATGTATCTATACTTTACCCCTTGTATTTCTTCTCTTCTATTTTAATTCCAGTGTTCCACTGATACCATGAAACATTCAGAAAACATTCAGAATTTATGTGATTTCTTTCAGCAGTCATATGATATGTTTATTTTGTGAGATATGTATGACAAGCATTGGTTGTATAGAGTTGGTTAAACATCTTGTGTTTTCAAAGAGGAGGTGTAAACATGATATCTAAGATTTAACACAGTGAATATTAGAATTATGTATCAGAAGCATTGTAGAGGATCAGGAGACTATTTTAGATTGACCTTGAAATATTGGTAAGGGTTTAGCAAACTTGGAAAGACTTTCTATTTAGTCAAAATAAGATAAATCATGAAGGCATAAGAGTTCTTGACAGTTCATAAAGGGTGAATGGGCTTATATAGTTAGTATCAAATGAAGGAAATGATTGAGAGTGAAGTAGGAAATACAGAATAGTTGTGACAGGTTTTAATAAAATGGTAAGGATTTTGTGGGCACTGGAGATTTCTGAGTAGTGGCATATCGTGGAAGATTTTTTTAAATCTGGGATGATGTTGATTAGATCTGTATTTTAGCAGGTGTTTGCTGAGAGTGGATTGTAGTGGAGAGGTAATAGGGGCTGAGTAACCAGTTAGCAGTCTGTTAAATATCCAGGGAGAGAAGATGAATTTTTTAAAAAAATTTTTTAATGTTTCTTTTTTTAAAACAGGATTTTTCTTTATTAAAAAAAAAAAAGTTTATGTTTATTTTTGAGAGAGAGAGAGACAGAGAGACAGAACATGAGTGAGGTTGGGGCAGAAATAGAGGGAGACACAGAATCTGAAGCAGGCTGCAGACCACAGTTGTCAGCATAGAAGCTGACCCATGAACCATGAGATCATGACCTAAGCCGAAATCAGATGCTTAACCAACTGAGCCACCCAGGCACCCTGAGAAGGTGAATGTCTTAACTGGGAAAACCACAGGCTCTGAGATGAATAGTTGACTTTGGATTCTAACAGAAAGATTTTGACTCTTTGATTTAGGAAGTAGGATAGGGAAGGGGAGGGGTTCAAAATAACTTGAGTTTTCTCATTTGGTTTGTTGGATGATTGGTAATCTCTTTCCTGTCCTTCTTTTGTTGTTGTTTTGTTATTTTAATTGTATTAAATAAATTATGTAGGCATTATTGATTGCCTCATTGGCTATGAGATTGAACTCAATCTAAGGCCTCATTCCTCTTTTCTAGAAGAGGCCAAGCTGATGATGGCTCAAAACCCCAACCCTCTAATCACATGGTTGCCCTTTCTGGTTAGGCTTTGATAGTGAGATGTCATGAATATTACATACATATGATATTGAAGGCTCATGAATAACAAAGATACTTCCTGGATTTTGAGTCTCCCAGAAACTAGGGACAAAGGTCAGTAACATTTTTTATTATACAACATAACCCAGACACCTATAAGTCTTCTGCCATCTACCTCCACATTTCCAGATTCTGTGTCTAATCTGCCATTATCTTGATAATCAATTTTAGATAAAATGTATAATTCCATTTCTCTCTTTATTCACCTCTCCTACTCCCAAACACACATCTGCCTATTTGCAGCCTTATTGCTACCTTTGGTTAAACCAGTGTCAGTTCCTGCATTAAAAGTACAATATAGGGGCACCTGGGTGGCGCAGTCGGTTAAGCGTCCGACTTCAGCCAGGTCACGATCTCGCGGTCCGTGAGTTCGAGCCCCGCGTCAGGCTCTGGGCTGATGGCTCAGAGCCTGGAGCCTGTTTCCGATCCTGTGTCTCCCTCTCTCTCTGCCCCTCCCCCGTTCATGCTCTGTCTCTCTCTGTCCCAAAAAAAATAAATAAACGTTGAAAAAAAAAATTTTTAAAAGTACAATATAAATCTTGTTTTCTTTTGCCTCTTTTGAAAGTTTCAAGAGTTTTTACTCTTGGATTGATTCCTTTTCATGACATCCTATTCTTTAAGATAAAAATTTTCTCCCTCTGCAGATACTAATTTGGGGTCAAAGCTTACAATACTTTTAAAGGCTTTATTTTTCTTTTTCTTCTGTGTTTGTTAGCTAAAAATGCCATAACAAAGTCCAATAGATTGGGTAGTTAAAAAGCTGAAACAATAGAAATTTATTTTCTCATGATTCTGGAGGCTGCAGGTTAAAGGGGTCAGCAGGGTTGGTTTCATCTGAAGCCTCTCTCCTTGTCTTATAGCTAGTTGACCTCTCCCTGTGTCCTTAAGTGGTCTTCTTGCATGTGTGTCTGTGTCCTAATTTCATCTTCTTATAAGGACACCAGTCATATTGGATTAGATCCCATCTATATAAACTCATTTTACCTTTATAGCATGCTATTTTTTAGGGGACACAGTTTAGTGTATTACATTTGCCTTATCTCTGTTTTCTGTGGATTTTTTTGTTTATCTGACTTCCATCTCTCTCTTACATATTTTCCTTGACCATCTTATAGTCTTTGGCTGTCCTTGTATATTTTAGAGTCTGGAAATAGCTGGTTTGTTTAGTTTGTATATGGGCAGAGTTTGTAAGTGGATTTTCTATTGGGCAATACGACTGCAAATAGCCCTTCTTTTTGGGGGAGAAGACCCTTACATGTCAAGATCTTTGGTCTTTTTCCCCTTTAATTTCCCCAGAGAATAATATTCAACTTATTGCAGGGTGAGCTTTCACACCTAGCTGATAGAGGTATAAGAGCAGAGAAGGAAGAGGCCTGAATATTCTCACAGTTAGGTGTGCAGGTTGACACTTAATCACCCTTACTGTGCCTGGTATTCCTGATTACAGGTCCTCTTCAGCTTGGCTCTTCAGAGATTAAATTTCTAATCTCCTGAAGACTGCAAGGTTGAAGGCAGATGCCAGGGTGTCTTAACTGCTCAGTATGTGAAGATATAGAAAACCTGCAATTTCTTGCTATTTTGCTCTGAACCTCCCCTTCATGTTCTGGGGCATCTGAAGCCTTGAGCAATTGAGGAGTTCTTCGGGAGTGTATTAGTGAGGTTTTATCATGTATTGGTTGCCTACCATATGCTAGGTACTGTACTAGGATTATCCTATGTAACCTTAATTGTAATCTTTGAAAGGTTCTACTATGAGGTTCATTTTACATATATGAAAACAGAGGGTTTAGAACAGAATTAGTAAATTGGAGCACCAGGCTGTGAAAACAAGTGTATTTGACCTCAGAAACTGCACTTTTACCAACTCTGCTACACTCAGAACAGTTGGCAAATTCATGCTTTTGCCAGTAGGTCTACATTCTAGGTTTTGTAAAAATGTCAATATATTGATTTGATCACATTGAAAAAGAGTTGTTATACTAAGTATAATACAAAAATAAAGTGAAGTTCAGTACACCTATGGGAATATAGATGTATTTTACTATTTGTGAACATGATAATCAGAACATTTTCCTTTAACAACTTTGAGAGTAGAACAATTTCTAGCATATTTTGAGGGTTCTGCAGGTATAAGCATAGAACTAAATGGTGACATTAGGTTCTGTCATTTTATTGAAAGTTCTAGAACCAAGGGCTTAGTTGTCTATTATTTTTCTGACATTTCCCTCACAGTACTAGATACAGTGTCCTTGGTAAATTTAATGTTCATGAGATGTTGGCAGATAAGCTAAATGACAACTAAGAAATTCAGAACTATATGTTTAAGAATTGTTTTTATGTTTTGGTACTTAGTGTCTAGCATTCTTGTATTTTTAGTCAACGCTTATTTCAGTTGTCACTTAATCCTTTTCTTTTCTTTCTAACAGATTACTTCTGTAACTAGATCTCCAATTTGCTCAACAAAGCAGAATGTCCCGATTGCGACAACCCCCCCTTGTGACAGGCATCTCTCCAAACGAAGGAATACCATGGACAAAGGTCATAATTAGAGGAGAAAACCTTGGGACTGGCCCAACTGACCTCATTGGTAAGAGCAAGAACTGTGCTGTGTTTCCATGGTAAATGCAGTTTTATAGTGGGCAGTTGAGGCAAGATGATATAAAAACAACATTGTGATCTGTACAGAATGAGCTGAATAAAGATTAAAGAATTATTTGGTTTTATGACTTTTCTGTTAAAATCATTATTTTATCAAATCTTGTCAAAATTGCCTATCACTAAGTCCTTCAGAAAGTTTCCCACAGGTGAGATTTTGCCTCCATTTCCTCAGTTTTGATCTCTCCTGCTTTGATTGCTCAAACAGCCTCCTAGCTATTTTTGCTCTCTTTAGTTTTTCCCTCCATTATACAACTGTTTGTATTCTTTCTCTAGTGCTTGTGAATTATGCCTCTTCTGTTTCTTATTGCCCTTCAAATCAAATCTAAACTCTCTATAGTTAAGAGTCTGTTTCTTAGTTTGCCTTTCCCTTTCCTTTTTTCCCTATGCCCATTTGTTTTGTTTCTTAAATTACACATGAGTGAAATCACATGGTATTTGTCTTTCTCTGACTGACTTATTTCACTTAGCATAATAGTCTCTAGCTCTATCCATGTCATTGCAAATGGCAAGATTGCATTCTTTTTTATGGCTGAGTGATATTCTGTATATGTATATCTTCTTTATCTACTCATTAGTTGATGGACATTTGAGCTGTTTCCATAAGTTAGTTATTGTAGATGCTGCTGCTGTAAACATTGGGGGCCATCCCTTGGCTTGTCTTAATCTCCTCTAGAACTTAAAAAAAATGCTCTGGGCTGCTATGTCTCAGTCTAAAGATGGAGCCTAATCATCTTTTTGAAAATGCAAATAAGTGTCATGTACAGCCAGGGTAGAGAGCTAATTGTAAATATAATTGTATGGTCAGTTAGGATTATTTTCCTGTGAACTCTGAAGTGCATTCAGAGTAGAGGTGCATTCAGAATGAGGAAGGGAGAGGCTTCAGTATATGCTACTGTGCATGTATATGCCAGTTTCCCATATAAACTTTTCTGGATTCAGACATTCTCTGGACTCTTCTTAATTTATGAGGGACCTATTGGTAAAATACTGGAGATTATGAGTTGGAATTTGTTTTTCTTGAATTATTGGTGCAGGTTGACAGATTGTTTTTTGGCCATCTGGAAAACTCTTGGAAAAGAGAAAGTAAATTGGAGCTCAGCACTATATTTAATAACTGATTTTTGTACTTCCCAGCTAATTCTTTTCACTAGTGTTATTTAAATGTCTTATTTTGTATTTTTCTCTAGCCATGGTTTTTGTTTCTCCAGTAAACAATATTTAAATTATTATTCTTACGAAGATAGTCTTATTTAACTTTTGTCTTGGTTTTTTGATGTAGCTCATTTTAGTTTTTTCTTCATCCAAAGTAGAATAGTCCCTAGAATGCAGGCAAATAAACCATACAGATGGAGGTTATGTCCTACATTTTAACTGGAAGCTCCCAACATGACAGTTACTAGTCTATGTAAATTTTAATCTTGCTTTACTTCAGGCAGTGCTGTTCTTATTTGACTAAGTGTGTATACTTTTATAAACCTCACTAGTTCAGCTTTCAACCTGCCTATGTATTGCCAAGAAACCATTTTATAAAAAAAGCAAACTTAACCTGCTAAATAATTTGAGTGTTTTTAGCTCAGATGAAGTCTACACTAGCCAAGTAAAACATTATAAAAGCAGTTTATTTGAAATTCTACAGGTTACTTAAAAAAAAGATATTATATTGTATGAAGCAGATTTCTTAGCTTGCAGTGACTTATTAAAAATGTTCTTAAGAAATTAAGAAATCTTTCTTACTATCTTATTTAACTTTTATGACATTTAAAATGATCTATTCAAATCTATGTTTAAAATTAAATGAGGATTATTAATTTTTTTTTTTAGTTAAAATGCAGAGCAGATATTAAATCAGAGAAAACTTTATAGCAGCTACAACTAGATGAATAAACTTATTCTGGGTAGTTTTTTTCCAACTTGTGCTTTCATGGATATCATTCATGTTTGTTCATCTGAACATGTTTTTAGGCTTCCTGTCAGTATATTGGAAAGCTAATTCCATTTCTTAATTTTTAAAAAAGATTTATTTATTTATTTATTTATTTACTTATTTATTTATTTAGAGTGTGTGAACGTGGGAGTGGGAGAGGGGCAGACAGAGAGGGAGAGAGAGAATCCCAATGTGGGGCTGGACATGGGGCTTGAGTCCAATGTTTAACCCGGGTGCCTCTCTCATTGTTCAGTTGTTTGTTTTTTTTTTTAATTTTTTAAATGTTTATTTTTGAGGGAGAGAGAGAGAGAGAGAGAGCATGAGTGGGGGAGGAGCAGAGAGAGAGGGAGACACAGAGTCTGAAGCAGGCTCCAGGCTCTGAGCTGTCAGCACAGTGAGATCATCATCTGAGCCGAAGTTGGACACTTAACTGACTGAGCCACCCAGGCGCCCCTCATTGCTCAGTTTTAATCATAAGGTTGTTCTTTAGCAAGGAACCTATATTAGGAATGACTTTATGTTAAATCCTGACATTTATTGTTGAGTAATTTTCCTTTCTGAAATGAGTTAATATTTAAAATGACAAGAATCTTTTTGATAGTATAAACTTTAAAAACATTAACGTATTGACCTAGAGTAATATCAAAATACCCACCATATATAACACTAAAAGTATTCAGTTTATTTATTAAAACTTTTTCCATTCATTTAAAAAATACATAGACTGATTTATGTATGCATAAAAATTATTTGAGCAAATATTCACTGAAGTGTTTCACAGTGCCTATCTTTTCTTTTTTTTTAAGTTCATTTATTTATTTTGAGAGAGTGAGCAAGCATGGGAGAAGGGGCAGAGAAAGAGGGAGAAAGAGAATCCCAAGCAGGCTTACCGCTGTCAGCACAGAGTCCAATGTGGGGCTCAAGCCCATGAACTGTGAGATCATGACCTGAGCCCAAATCAAGAGTCTGATGCTTAACCGATTGAGCCACCCAAGCTCCCTACTCAGTGCTTATCTTAAAGATGGAGAGGAATTCTAGGGGTGCTTTCAATCTCTTAGATTGTTTACATTTTTCAAAACAAAATTGATTTTCAGGAAAGATATCAAAGATGTTCCCATTTTGAAAAAATAATTTTGAATTATGAATGCATTTAAAAATGTGTAAATGCCATTACACATTTAAAGAAACCAAAAGAAAACTTAGTCCTAAAGAAGCCTTTAAATGCTATTATTAGGATTCCATACATGTATAAATCATATAGCTGTTTTAGGGAAATCTCTAAAATTCATTATTTCAATAAATGCATCTTTGAAATGTAGTTATTTTTCTCAATGGTTAGTACAACATTCCTACTAAATAGTGCTTTCATTTTAACGAAGGATGACTTGACTCCTTTCCTACATTTTTTAAACCAAATTTGGCATTAATTGAGGTGTTCCTGGTATCTGAAAAAAAATTGTATTACCAAACTTGACTGTTGAACAGTATAAAAAGTTAAATAATGAGAAAAGAAAGTGTGAAGTGTCTGGGTCTTTACCACATACAGTTCGGTTTACTTTTTCCATAAATATTTATTACATTGTTCTCTGCTTTGCAGAAATAGAAAATACAAAGAAAATAAGTTAGTAGAAGAGCTGGCAGTATGTCCATATGGTGATATATTGTTGTTCTGTCTGGGGTACATCTTCCTCACTATAATCTTTCAGTGCCTCCATATTTGGCTACTGCCTAAATTATAATAATTTACTTGGTATCGGGCCTGAGATGCCAGGCACGAGTTGAGGTTTTGGGAGTGTTGGTTTACTATGAGAACAGAATGTAATATAGTGATAATATCATTAGGGAAACTCAAAGGCACCATGCACTACCTTTATAGGATGCAGATATTAAAAATGAAATAGTAATCCAGTAATTCCCAAGAACATTAACTACATTCACCTGATTTCAAGCTGTGCCTGGAATAAAATATCCTCCATATATGCAATATATAATTTAAACACTAGGAAAAGTAAGTGCAGATTGTGTTTAGGAAGATGGATAAATATATTTGTTTGTAGGGAATGATATATACATTTCTTTGTACACTGTAGAATTTTATATCAGCAACTTTGATTTCTAATAATAGTAATAATTTCCCCTTGTAAAACCTACGAACATAATTTAAGATTCTCATAAGCTGAGTATATGGAATGCCTACACATAATTATTATGGTCATTTTTTTTTTAATCCCATTGGTGTTTGAAGAAATTTAAGTATAATCTAAAGAAGTCTTTGATATTAGAGATAAAAGAGTAGACAAAAATCAATAGAGACAGTATGTTTGCAAATAACATTGGGTATATTCAGTAATAGAAATAACTATTGAACAGGAAATGTTATTTCTAGATTTATTTTCTTCATGGAAAAAACCGGGTAAGACTGACAGAAGAATTGTCTTTTTATGTAACAGACATGACTAAGATCTTTGTTCTTTTGAACTTTGTTACATGCATGCTTTTATTTTCAGGTTTGACAATTTGTGGACATAATTGCCTCCTGACGGCAGAATGGATGTCTGCAAGTAAAATAGTATGCCGAGTGGGACAAGCTAAAAATGACAAAGGAGACATTATTGTCACAACCAAGTCAGGTGGCAGAGGAACCTCAACAGTGTCTTTCAAGCTACTCAAACCTGAAAAAATAGGTATCCATCTTTTATGACTTTTTTCTAAAGAGGAAAATGAAAATACGTTTTGTCTTTTAAAATGTATAACTGGTAGATTTGTATAAAACGTTCCTATTTTCACATCTCATTAACTTAGATTATATTTATTTTGACAGGAATGGGATATTGGTTAAAATTTGCATTACTTTTGGAAACGCAGGTTAGTGAGCTAACAGTAAAATCTAAGGAGGATGGTCATGAGAGAATTATTATCCTAAATTCTTTGTAAAATCTGTTTATTTAACATTTTGCTTTGCCAATTTTAGTTCCTTGATCTTAGACACAGTAATTGCATTTCTTTGTATTATGCAGTTGAGATTTGAGGTAAAATATTCTCCTGATGTGGCCAAATTAGCAATCATATTATCTAAATAATGTTCTTGTTTCCTTCTTTTTCTCTATCCTTTGAGGCCAGTACACAATGTTGCCTGGCCAGAATGTGCCTTTAGCCCTCCAAACTAGAAATAATCTCTCTTTTTTGTATCCTATAGCACTTTATATGTTACTTTTTATGCACTTAACACTTGCTTCCTCAAATTGGTCTGAGGAGTCACTCTGAATACAAATCTGCGCTCTATCGCTACAAGCTGTGGAACTTGAATGCTTAGGTTTTTTTGTGGGTAAAAGTGGAACAACAGTATTACCTAACTCACAGGATTAAATGAGTTAGAGCATGTATTGTATAGTGCTTAGTATAGACCCTTACCCTAAGTAAGTGTTTAATTAATTTATCATTTTAAATTATTCTTCTCATAGTTATTTCTGTGTATGGCCATCTCGCCTACTAAAATTAGGATAGTGTCAGATTCATCTTTCTGGTCTTGCAATGTCTTGTACATGGTCTGTACTTGATAAACATTTGTTTAAAGTAGGGCTTTAAGCTTAATTAAGCTTAATTAAGCTTAAGGCTTAATTAAGCCCAGGTCACATATCTCTCTTAAACTGAAAAGTAAATAATTTTGCAAATTGTTTTTGTTCTCTATCATAAAACATAGAGCTTTTCTACAGCATTATCTTCCTTATATTCCTGGATTTTTTTTCCATACATAAAAACTTAGATAAGGAATTTAAGGGAGAATTAAAAAAAAAAAATATATATATATATATATACACACACACACACACACATATATACATATATACACACATTTATACATGTATATACACACATCTGCACACACATGTATCTGCATACGTTGTACATATATAACATTCCTGTTTTTATTTACTCATTTTTATTTAACATCAAAAATTAAAAATTAAAGCAGGAACTTGTTATCAGTTTTCTGGAGGAACTTAAAACATCTTGGCAGAATCCAGCAATGTCTTATATTTATACAACAGATAAAGACAACTTAATCGAAAGTTTTAACTTTATTCTAAAACATCCTGCCCAGGACCTGGCACAGTATAGGTTCAATAAAGGCTTATCAGACTGAACTCAGGAGTATCTAGACTTGAGCATAACCTCTAACAAAGCCTCTTGTTGAATTCTGTCAGAACTGTGGGTACTAATAGAATTAGTTGGTTCACAAAGGTTCATACAGCTAGAAGTTGCCTGGGATCAAATACCTTCCATGAAGCCTTCACAGCCTCAAGCTACCCATTGGCCCTTTGCCCATTTTCTGTTTCAACCCACATTCAGAAGTGGTAAGCCTGTTAGTCCTATGCCAAAGTGAATGTCAAGAATCTGGTCACATAAAAGAGAGTACCATTTTCAGAGATTATATTTTGTTCACAGTGTCTGTCCATTTTTTCCTGAATATCCTAGTCATTTCCATTACTCAAGCCATGCATTTCTTGGAAAGTGTTTGACTGATATCTTTATATAAAGAATTGTTGGATATTTTTTTGAATTAGCCAACTTAATTATACTGTTTATTTTTTATAAAATACATTTGTTTGAGCAGAACTTTTTCTCAGAGGCTTAGCTTGTCTTCTCTGTTGAATAATGTACAGTGTAACCATGAAGCAAGAGATATTATTTTTGCCATTTGATAGATTTTTAGTGTTTTTAATCAAGCCACAAGCCATTAAAAAAAGAAAACACCCAAAAAACAAACAGAGCTTTTGTGCTGTCAAATCTCTTAAAAATTACCTTAGTGTGCATTTTGTTTTAGGTCTTTAAAAAGTGAAGCAATAGCGAAAGACTTAGCCTGTATCTTATTAAGGATGTGCTCCTCATTTTGGTAGGTATTTTGGATCAGTCTGCTGTGTGGGTTGATGAAATGAATTATTATGATATGCGTACTGACAGGAATAAAGGAATTCCTCCCTTGTCTCTGCGTCCTGCTAATCCACTTGGCATTGACATTGAAAAGTGAGTACCATCTTGCCTTCAGTTTTCTTTATTGCTGAAAACTTTTATATACTTAAGAGTGAAGAGAGTGACACTCCAGAAATATCCAGGCAAGCACAGTTGAAGACATCTCTGTTGTTGGGAGACAAGTTGTATTTCTGAAGCCTTGTCAGGTTTGCTGCTTGTGAGTGTTCCAATTAGTTAAAACTTTTGGTGAAAACTACCTACCTCTTTTATTTTTTTGAATTTACACTTTGTGAAGAAGAAAAGTATCTTGAAATATTTAATAACTAATACTTTTAATGATAGGAGAATGCGTTATCTCGGGTTTGTGAGTTTAAATATTTAGATGGTACTTGAAATCAAAATAGAATTTTCTGGGGCGCCTAGGTGGCTCAGTTGGTTGAGCCTCGGACTTTGGCTCTTGGCTTGTGAATTTGAGGCCGCGTGGGGCTCTGTGCTGACAGCTCAGAGCCTGGAGCCTGCTTCGGATTCTGTGTCTCCCTCTGTCTCTGCCCCTGCCCCTGCCCCACTCATGCTCTGTCTCTCTCTTTCTCTATAAAAAATAAATATTAATTTTTTTTTTTCAAAACAGAATTTTCCAAGTGCTTGATGTTTTGGGGGAATATTTTAGAATAATTAGGCCCAGTGTAGTTTTTTATTTTGTTTACGATCCCTGCCTGTAAGTCGTACTTAATCCAGACTTACTTTCAGTATTGTGACAGGTAAATGATATTTTTCAAGATGTTACCGAATCTGTAATTTTCTATTCTTAATTGCTAGGACAATGTTTAGTAACTTTTATAATTAGTACCTTTATCCTTACATCTTACTTAATCAATTCATCTAACACATCAATCGTGTCTAATTTATTTTCTAGCCTTGATGGTTCTGCTCATGAAGTTATATATTGAGTGTTGCTCTGTAAACACTGAGGGTGACAAGTTAGTTCTATTAACACTTTAACCATAGCTTTAAGTTTTTCTAAGAATGGGGAAAATTCTCTGCTTAATCTTTATATATTTAACCTTCAAGCCTACACTTGAAGACCATTAGTAATTCAAATAGTAAGCTGCTTTTTCACCTAGTGAGGTTTTTACCTCTGGCTAAGAGGAAGGGAGCAAGTGTTTGTCTTGGAATTTACGATGTGTTGAGAAGTCCTCGGGTTTAGCAGCTTTTAGTGAGCTTGGACTGTCCTAGGTCACATCTTTGAAGCTCTTTGGCAGTATGGGTCATTCTGGAGCTGTTTTAAGGATTTCAGTGCTCTATAAAGAGTTTGAGGATCAAGAAAGTCTAGAAAAGAATGGTAATTACTAGCTATTTAGTTGAGCAGTTTCAAGCATGAATAGACTTTGCAGTTGATACTAAGCCTTTTAATAGGCTGGTTCAATACCCTTGAAAGCCAGCTTCTTTCCAAGTCCTGCCACAAAAGAAGTGTAGAGCAGGAGGTCCTATATGATTGTTCTTTCTTGAGGAAAATACAGTTTAGGAGTATTGTATGAATTTTGTATGAGATTGAGACAAAACTTTCAAAGTTAGGATTAAATTGAATGTTTACTATCATAAAATAGATTTTCTTAATTTTCAGTTTGGCATATAACCCACCCCTTCTATGACGTTTTTACCTTCCTAGGCCCTTCCACCTTTTGACCGCCTTTATTATTCCTGTTATTGCTGCTACCCACAAAGGAGTTAGGCTTGAAATCTCTCTAATAGCACTTTTTCATAATACGGGTCAGGATTATTCTTTGCTAACATTGGTAACAGTAGCCAGGAATAATGGCACTTAAAGTTCTTGGCTCTTTAAAAGTTCTTTTTTTCTTTTCTGAGAGGTAATCTAATTTAGTCTAGAGCCAAACTCAGTTTGAATCATAGCTCTACTGCTTACTAGCAGTATGACTTAACTACTCTGACTCAGTTTCCTTAGGTAGAACATGCCGTACCTGTGTCATGGGGTGGTTGTGAAGATTCAGTGAGTGAGTGCTTTAGAAGAGTGTCTCTCATAGCAAGTGCTTAAAAAATGTTTGTCATCATTACAAGGATTCAGTGCTCTTGTATAATACACTGTTCCTGGCTTCGCTCCGTCACTTAGGAGGAGAATTTCTTTTTAATGACTATTAAGATTTCGGGGTAATAAATTGTATTAAAATCTTAAAATAGCATTATGTACATTAACTTAAGTGTTTAAATGGGGATAAAATTAACAGTAGTATTTCTTTCAAGCTCTTACTTAAGTTTCAAATAATAATTTGCTCAGCCATGGGATAATTAAAGAGTAGCCTTTTGAAAAGGTAAAATCATGACTGTCCTACAAATATAAAGTGAACACATTTTAAGAGCATTATTTCATTCATTAATTAATGGGAAATCAAGTAAAATGTTAAAACCAGTTCAGGGGGAATTCCAGAGGGTAGACATAATAGGCAATGAAGAATGCTAACAGATGCAGATGGGGCACTTATACTGCATGGTAATTAGTTACATCTTTACCTGATAGGTATTCCTGGTTGCCATCAGCCCTCTACAGTTTAACTTCTGTGTTTCTAACAGAGTTGCAAAATAGGGACAAAGGCATAGATCCCTATAAGAATCAGAAAATACTGGGAAGGTCCTCCAGACAGTGAAAGGATACCCAATAATCCTTTTGCTTATTTAAAGTCTTCTGAAAATTTTCCAGTAAAAGAAGGACAGACTAGATATAGTAGCAAGCAAGAAAATGAAAGGTGAAAGTAGGAAGAGTTATAGACAACAAGAGAAGAGAATGTTTTTGGCTAGACATGCTTTTTCAGGTTCCTTTTTTATTTTTTAAAGGTACTGCCAGGAAAACCGCATTTATTTTATTGAATTCTCTGACCTCAGATAGAAATCTTATTTTAGAAAAAGAGAAAAGGAAAGGAAAAGCAGATGTTAAAATATTGATGGATTTTATTTCCCTGACTCAATATTTTTCAGATAAAAGTTTTGCTGTCTGTAGAGAAGGATGTACTTTCAGGTTAGAATCCCTAAGAGCATTTCCTTACTGGTTTTTATTTCTGTATGTTAATGTCATTTGGGGGATTCTTTTATTTAAAAGGTTGGAAGAGGATCTACTTTTAATTTTTTTAAAAACTTCGTTAGAGAACGAACACCAGGGTTTTAATTATTACCTGCTTGTTGAAATATATTAATTGAGAAGGTTTGAAGAATTATGTTATAAAATACTGTGGTCCTGATGAATTATCAGATTAAAGTGGTCAGGTCACTTTGGAAGATGAATCAGTTGTTGGTAATTGCATTGTGAATGTTTATGAAATTCTCTTCAGCTGACAGTCAAATGTGCAACGTGGAACAGTGGGGTGTCCTGTAGTGTTGTGGCCAGTTCATCTGAATTTGAAAAAGCGAGTGAGAGTAGCGGAATATAGTTTTCTGGTTGCTCTTTGGTGTGAGTCAGAGTTTAATAAACATTTTATTGTTGTGCCCAGCATGCATCCTGTTGTCTTTCAGCTATGGGTTTAACAACTGGCATTTATTGGCTTCATTTGCCTCCTTAAGTCCTTCATATTCCTAAATTTTTTACTGATGTTTTGCACACATGGTGCCTTGATATTTATAAAAATGTTACCAATTGCTTCAAAAAAGATAACTTCACCTTGAACTGAGACTAGGATTTAGTTGTAAAAAGTGTATATTTCTGATTTGTTATATTGATTGTCACAGATGTATGTGTTCGTTGCACAGCTTAAATTGTAATGGAGACAAATCATTTAAATTGAAAGAGAAGGTAAAACAGGTTCATGTTAAGTAAAAGCCCTCACTGGGTTGTATTTCTTAAAATAAATATTTGTCTAATGGAATATTTATAAGTAATGTTTTTGGACATTGTACATATATGGGAGTGAGGACATAAAAATGAAACTTTGCCCTTGTTTTTATATGGTCTACAACTTTTTTGTGAAATAGTTACATAAGAAAGGCTATCTAGAGTAGTCATTTGATGTGCCGTTTACTTGTTTTATTTCCATGTGGATTTTAGGGCATTGCAGATCTGATTTTCTTCTCATCAATTAGGTTTTCAGTAGAAAGAAAAGGTGACCAGTTTTCCCAGTAGATTTAGAAACCAGGGACAGGTGGAAAAATAATTCTTAGTATGAGTGTAGAAGAGAAAAGCCTTGGATAAATTTGTCTTTTAGAAATTTTATAAAACAGGTTGTGGGCTGTGATACAGTGCCTAAGTTCAGAACCTGTCATGCCCTATCCCCCAAAATAAGAAAGAAAGAAAAAAACAACAGCACACATACAACCAAAAACAAGCTCATAATATTTAATACACCAAAGTGAAAATAGTGATGCTAAAAATTGAAAGCCAAAAGAATTGAGTATAATATACACACACTGAAAAGAACTATATAAGCTTACTTTTACTGTGTTAGCCTCCCTGCCTTTCATCTTTCCATCTGCCAAATCAAGAAAACATGTTCTCTTTAATGCAAACACAGAGTAACACAACTGTAACCAGGCCTCACTCTATGTGAGGTGGTTAGAATTTTTCTCAAAATGATTTTGTTTTGCTTGCTTAAGGGTCATTACTGCAGATTGTTCTCATACTTGAAAGCAAATTCTGATATGTTAAAAACATTCCTGTTTTAAATCTGACCAGTGACTCTGTATACCTGGATCTTCCCATGGCACGGGCTAAATCTTTTCAGAAGATTTAAATCTGAGCTTACACTGCCATCTAATGGAAAGTGTATATTTTAGGGGTGGCAAGAGTTGTCAGCTACTGAAATTGTTTTGATTCATGAACTTGCTTAGTAGAATATGTGTTGCTTTCACTGTCCCAACTATGGTAGTAGATTTAAAGTGTAAATTTAGTTTAAATTACTCAGAATGTACCTTGCTTTTACTGACTTGTTAAGCCATCACTTCACTTGGTGGGCCTTATCCTAAAATCTGGTTATTGTGAACAAACATTTAAGTTTTAACTTTCTTACTTTCTCAGCACCATTGACACAGTGCTTCTTCCTCTCCTAATACTGTTATAA